AATTTTATGGCCATTAGGACTTCATTTCCCGTTTATTGGTTGCACAGGAAATCTTTCAGCTGACTGTAGCATCTTTTGAAAATTTGTCACATGAGTCCAGTCGTTATTATACAAAGGCAGCTTCCATTCTTTGTATTGTTGCGAAGGTCAGGTCAAGCTTGTTGATGATGGACCTTGACTGCGATGCCTTAATTCTCGAGATGTTTCAACATTTCCTTAAAATAACCAAGTAAGAGCTTTATCGATGCTGTTTAAAATATTAATAATTGACTTCTCTTGCGGTTCTTTGCTGGAAAGTGCTTTGTGGTTGTATCGACAACAAAACATATTTTAAACTTTCATTATGGACTGAAGTTTGAAAAGAAGTTGTTTAATTTGTGTTTACTCCTAATGAGAGATCAAGTATTTGAACATCCTTTTCGTTTTTTTGTTTATAACTTATTCATTTAAACAATAATCTATGAAAATAAATAATCTTTGTGTCTGCGGTGCGTTTTGATTTTCATGATAACTTGGAGCTTGGTTTTCTATTTCATTTTACATGAGTTCATTTATTTTTTTGCAAATAATTTACAACTTATGGCTTCTTCTTGCTTAATGTTTAGGTCCAACCTTCCAGATGCTGTATTTTCAGCCATGGAAACTATTATGACAATGGTTTTAGATGAAAGTGAAGAAATTCCCTTGGATATTCTAAAAGCTCTTTTATCTAGTGTTAGAAAGGAAAATCAGGATCAGGTAATACTCTTTGTCTTTACATCTTGTTTTGTTTTGTTTTGCTATGTTCCTTTTTTATTTTCCTACCATTCCGTTTTGTTTATTTAAGAGTGTATGCCTGTTACTCATTGTTTCAGACCGTTTCACCTATTTCTTGGAAACTGGGGGAGAAAGTTATAGAGAATTGTTCTGCTAAGCTTAAATCTTATCTCGTGGAAGCAGTGAAGTCCGTGGACATTGCTTTGGACGATTATGCTGAAATAGTGGCTTCTGTATACCAAAATGGATCTGATGCCCTCAAAAATGATAATGACAATGATTCTGGGAAAAATCTGGTATGCCAAACTTGTGATATTGTCAGCACACTTGCATGTTTAATAAGTTTAGAGTACGGTGTATGGATTTTTTTTGGGTGTGTTTTGCTGATTCTATTTCCTTAACTTGGTCTTTGTATGTTTTTTTTAAAGCTGAATTCAAAGCCCTAATTTTCTTATTAATTAAAAAAAGAATGAAATGCCTGTTCGTATGTATTCATGTTTTCTCTCTCTCTCTCTCTCTCTCTCTCTC